TTCTCTAAGGTGGTCTATGCATTCGGTAGTTTCCATTCGCATCAACTATGAAGGAAACTACCGAACTAACATACGAATGTCTATGCAATTTTCAATGTACAGGCAGTTTAAACAGTCTTTTAAAATATAATTCTGGCGGACAGTCACAGGCCATCCGCTACAATGGTAAAATTCCAAAGAACTTTCCCACGCTGTGTAAAATGACACAGAGCACCCTGATTGGTGGATTTCACGCCATCCAATCAGAGTGCTGTGACAGGTAGATGTAGAGACTTACCTGTCAGTCTCTTCATTTACCTGTCAGAGCACTCTGATTGGATGGCTTAAACCCACCAATCAGAGAGCTCTGAGCCTAATTGCAGGGCGGGGCAAGGCTTTATAAGCCTTGCCCCGCCCTGCAGAGCTCAGTCTGCGCGGAGCCCTCCATGGGTGAAGATGGATTATTATTTTTTACGCTCTTTTTTTTTTAAAGTGCGTCGGTTATTATGGATTTTTTATTTGGCCATTTTTGGGGCTGAAAAAAGAAGATTTTAGAAGAAAGAAAACATCAAATGGTAAGTTTTATTTTTTTTTATTTTTTTTTTACAGGTACTTAGTTAAAGGTCCCCCCTCATGATTTTTAGGGTGAGGGGGATAGGTAGGGGTTAGTTTTTTTTTTTTTTGGGGGTGACTAGGGGTTTGCGGACTCCTAGTCACCTGGGGGGGTGGGTAACATTTTTATTTAGGGCCCCCACCCGCCGCTCAGGGGTGGGGGCCAGGGGCATGTCAATAGGTCCCCCCTTATTAGTATTTAGGACCCCCACCCACCGCTCAGGGGTGGGGGCCAAGGGGGAGGACATTAGGTCCCCCCCTTATTCTAATTTAGGGCCCCCACCCACCGTTCAGGGGTGGGGGCCAGGGGGGAGGACATTAGGTCCCCCCTTATTAGTATTTAGGGCCCCCACCCATCGCTCAGGGGTGGGGACAGGGGGGAGGACAATAGGTCCCCCCCTTATTCTGATATAGGGCCCCCACCCGCCACTCAGGGGTGGGGGCCAGGGGGGAAGACCATAGGTCCCCCACCCATCATTTTACTTTAGGGCCCTCACCCGCTGCTCAGGGGTGCGGGCCGGGGGGGCTATGACTCAGGCTTTGAGTTGCTTTATCCAACAACACTGCCCTGATATCTCCAGTTGCTACAGGATGTTCTATCTATCTAGTTCTCTTGCAATTCTACTTTCAATATGAGTAACTACTCTATAGAGGACAATAAATAGCAATATATCTGTGAGACCTCAAGGAAGAGACAAACAACTTCTTGGTGCAAACAGCAACTTCCTTTTTCTTTACAGGAACCAGGGTTTTTAATCACTCATCACACAGTATACAACTATATTATTTGTTACAGTTCTCTCCCCCTTTTGTGAATGTCCACCCTGACAAAGAGCTGTCTAAATCAGCCAGGCAGATATTTCAGCATGACAATCTGTATCGCAATCTCTTTTTGGTTCTGGAGGGGAGAGGCTCTGTCTTTTGTGCCATGTGACTCATTAGAGTCTTTTTTGTCACAAACACCTCAAGATAAGACTGTGCAAAGGGACTCCACTTTTTGGTTTGTTTCCAATGTGGTTAGTAAATATCGGTCGTTTGCTAGCAGCAAAGTTATTTCCTCTCAGAAGTAGCTTAGACTGATGGGTGGCAAATTGTGGACATCCAGATGAGGCGCCATGTCTAGATATACCAGAGAGAGATATACCATAAGAGACAAGGCCTCTTCCTCCTTAACGGTACACCTTCCAACCATCAAGCTTGTCTTGAACTCAGTAGAACCCGATGGCCGTTGCTATTTCTACTGTATGTATTAATCATGCCTACCTCCATGTTCTGACAGTATAGCTCATAACTTTCATCCCACTCACTCAGCTTCCATGGACTATCTAGAAAGGTCCTTACACCCCTTACACCTTATTTGGGATGGATGTAGGTAAGGTGATAATAAAGAACTGGTAATTTGGATTGTACAGTGTGTTTAGAAGGATCATGGAAAAAGGAGGGAGAAGGATAAGACTTGGGGGTGTAGTTTTAATTAAGGTCACAGTTTGTAAGTGCTTTTAAACCTTTAATAGTTTTCAAGTAGCTTTAGATTATTTGAGAAATTAATTTTAGTTTTTAATGAATTGTTACTGATTACACATGTATAAATGGGATTTAATGTAACCCTAGGTTTATAGAAACATGGAGAGCCACAGTGGTTGAAAGAAAAGCCCTGTGCCTGGCAAAGACAGTTAATACTGGGTGTAACAGATTAGTTATTGGCAATGCCCACCATCGTGTCATGGAGTTTTATTGCTGAGACAGAGTACGCTCTCGAGCCAGTGAAATACAGAAAGTGGCCTCTGCATGAAGTGTTCTTTGCTAATCTGTAAAGACAGACAGTGCCCACAACTGAACAAGGTAGCAGCAAGATGCTGTCATTGAGTGACAGAGAATATACACTTTTTGATACTGGCAGTGACTACTCTTAAGCCAGTGTGTCAGAGGGCCCACTCTTGATCCAAGGGCTGACAGATTGTACCCGCTGCTAAGCCAGAAAGTACCAGCTGCTGAGCCAGCATGCCCTTTGCAGTATGAACTTTGTGTGTGCTTTGGCCTTAGCAACTCCAATTTTTCAATTAAGGATTAAAAAAAAACCGCTTCAGGTAACATTTTCAGCTGGACAATAAGGCTTTGCATATGAAGTGGATTAGAGCCAGAACTGAGCGAAAGTGATGGGGCCTGGAAAAGAGATTTGGGAGCAGATCACGGGCAAAGGATATGAGATGAGGGAGAGGAGAGATTTGCCAACACACGCTCAAACACATTCAAATACACACAAATACTCAAAGATACACACACACTACACGGCAAGAGTGTTGGATAGTTAAATAGTACCAAAACCTACAAAATATTCTGTCCAATACAAGAATATATATCACATATATTAACATTTCTGTACATTTACATTACCAGATGTGTGTCAAAAACAAAACAAAAACACTTTAAGACATGTACAGACATGTGCTAAACCAACACTATTAACATGCACATTCAGTCACACACAAACATAATACTTTTCACACCAGGATGAATGTATACAATCACCCATTTTTATACTGTTATGTTATAAAGAACTCAATAAAACGTGCAATGTGGCCACATATTGATAGAGGAAGGGTTACTGCAGTACCCCTTCACCTCCCCAAAAATGCAAACTGAAAAACTCTGTGTAGCGAAAAAGAAGCTTTTGATACACTTTTATTCCCTGATGTTCGGATGTCCGTACACCCCCGTTCGTTTATCGAACCCCCATCTCTGTGGTCCCCTTTTTCGCACATTTTAACAACCAACCACTCCTGGCTGTTAACCACAAATTGTTCATTAAGGAAAGTGTTTCCCCAGTTATGAGAACGGCGTTTGGGAGGCATGAACTACCGAACAGGGGGAACATTCGTACACTAAAAACCAGGGGGAGCATTCATCGGAGTTCGTGTGAGAACCCCCGAAAGATGACCAGTTGTTGCCTTGTTTTCTCTGGAAATGTTTTGGGGCATCACCTCGTGGCCGACCGGTCAAAACTTAATTCGAATGGCATTCCCGAACCACTGAAGGGATCTGAGTGATATTTTGTAAAGGTGTGTGCTTAGATCCAAGCTATTCGGTGATATAACTTTCATGGGGCTCTGTATTAAAATTATTAAAATTTATTTTTGGGGTGTTTTTAAATATTGTAAATTTTTCTGTACCTGAGTTATAGATTTTTCTCACGCAATTTTCTCTCAGGCATAGAGGATCTTGGGAGGAAAAGAACTGTATTTTTGTATAAGAGACCTCATATAGGGGTCTGTGCATAAAAGCCACGTGTGGCCAAAATAAAATCAGTTGACTTACAGAACTATGTGTTGTCTAGTTGCAGGGGGGAAAGTGTCTTGGATTGTTATACTCATAATGTTTCCTACAGCTTCGAGGAATAAATAGTGTAGATACCTATGCTGGGTATTGGAGCTCTGCTACACTCTGTGCTGCTGACCTTAAACCATGTTGTGCAAAGCAGGGTTACATTTGGTTGCATACGTTAAAAAAAAAAATCAAGGAAGCACAACTAGCCACTAAATGTGCACATAGTGCTACATACACGTTATTGAATGTAATAAATTGTATGTAGGACTGTGTGTGCACATTTAGCATCTAATTGCACTTCCTTGATTTTTTTTACCTTATGCATTTCGATAAGACCCTCATATAGAAAACCTTCAGGCTGTATTTGAAAATACTGCATTGCATCACGTTGCACACAGTTACAGGATATGTTTTTTCAAAATGTGCCCTCAAATATTTGTTGCCTCACATGACATATATTTTAAACTGACAGTACCACTAGTACTTCAGCAAAAGTATGGCACCAAATCCCATCAAGTTAAGTAATAATTCTCCAATACTTCGGATTATATGGCCTTCAATTCTCATCAAGCTGATTAACTGATTTGCATTTTTTTGCACTCCAGCTTCTGTGTCCTGCAACTCCACTCCAGGGCCGGTGCAAGGATTTTTGCCGCCCTAGGCAAAAAAGATTTTGCTGCCCCATTCGCTCTACCCATGGTGTGACATCATAATGTCCAACCCATATGAGCTTTTACCATGACGTCACAACAATAATAGAAGTTCTTCCGGGTGGCAAAAGCCCTGTACATATACTGCAATTCTCAGACAGTTTTCTGTCTGTCTACCGTGCATTCCATAGATTAACAAGTATCACAAAAATACTTCATGCTTGTCAATGCACTTCCATAGCCTTGCCGGCAATCAGGGACCTGAACCCCCTGCCAGACGGCACCTGGCCACCCCCCCAACCACTGCCCCGTGCCTACGCCAACCGTGAAAGTCACCGCCATGTGTCCCCGTTGACAAAGAAAGCAATCAAGGAACGACACTCCCAACACCCGCACCCACTCCCCCACCGGGCACACGTGCCTGCCGAGCCGGCGATGAGGCGAACCCCCGCACCAACATCTCCAGCCAAAGCCCCATCCTCCACCACTGGAGTGTATTGCTCCTTGGGTAGCAGAAGACAAGGCTCCAACCAAAGACATCAAAACGGAAGCCCACCCCACCACCAGCCCGGCAGACACGCGCCGGGTGAAAGAGCAGACACAAGCACGGAAGCAAAGTGCACCGCCCCAGACCAACAAAGTATTGCCTTCACTAAAAGGCCAGGGCCCACGGCGACGACCCCCACGAACCGCATGAGCACAAAACAACAGCCGGTAGGAGCCAGCCCGGCACCACCGGACAAGGAGCCCCAGACCGCCAACAAAGCCACCAACACCAACTGCAAAAACACACCAAGCACCACAAAAAACCCTTACCTTCAAGAGAGGAGAATGTCCGTCAGTGGAAGCCTCACGCTTTCTGCCACCCGGAAGTATCTTGACAGAAATGTTTACAAACATTCTGAAAGGGTCTATATGATCTGCTGATGTCAGGAATTCTAAATGAATTTTATATTTAAGCAAAAATAGCCAAACTGCAAATATAGCTGAGTTGGAGATTTCTTATATATATATATATATATATATATATATATATATATATATGTGTGCCACTAATGTATATAATAAAATACTGTCCCACAATTTAACCCCTTAAGACCGGAGGGCATACAATTACGCCCTATTTTAGGCGGCTCTAGATGCCGCCGGGCGTAATTGTATGCCCTCCGTTTTTTTTACTTACCCGGTCGCCACCGGTCCCACGCCGGCGATCGCGGTGGGGGGGACTCCCAGGGAGCCCCTCGCGGCACGTCCGACCCCTTGGAAGCCCCCCCGGCCATGTGAGAGTGAGGTCCTTGCGAGGACCTCACAATCACATGGCCAGGTAGGCTGCCTGCTGCATTGCCGTGGGCCCTGCAGGCTGAAAATAAAAATAAAATAAATTAATTAGGTGTAAAAAAAATATATATATATACTTAGATCATATATATATTATATATATATATATATATATATATGATCTAAGTATATATATATATACACATATACATACACACACATACACTGTCTAGGTGTATTTTACTATTAATATATATATTAATATATTACACGTAGACTGATACTGATTAAATATATATATAATTATTGTTATATATATTTATATATAATATTAAAAAAAATATGTAAATACGTTAAAAAATTAAATTAAAAAAATAATTTAAAAAAATTATTAAAAAATATATAGATGTGTGTTATTTCGTTCTAACTGTATTGTGATATTAATATATATATATATTTATATCAAAATACACGTAGAACGAAATAATATATATATCTACATACATAAATATATACGTATATATCACTATATATATACCTATATATAAATAAAAATATTTTAAAAAAATTATTTATATACAGGGAGTGCAGAATTATTAGGCAAATGAGTATTTTGACCACATCATCCTCTTTATGCATGTTGTCTTACTCCAAGCTGTATAGGCTCGAAAGCCTACTACCAATTAAGCATATTAGGTGATGTGCATCTCTGTAATGAGAAGGGGTGTGGTCTAATGACATCAACACCCTATATCAGGTGTGCATAATTATTAGGCAACTTCCTTTCCTTTGGCAAAATGGGTCAAAAGAAGGACTTGACAGGCTCAGAAAAGTCAAAAATAGTGAGATATCTTGCAGAGGGATGCAGCACTCTTAAAATTGCAAAGCTTCTGAAGCGTGATCATCGAACAATCAAGCGTTTCATTCAAAATAGTCAACAGGGTCGCAAGAAGCGTGTGGAAAAACCAAGGCGCAAAATAACTGCCCATGAACTGAGAAAAGTCAAGCGTGCAGCTGCCACGATGCCACTTGCCACCAGTTTGGCCATATTTTCAGAGCTGCAACATCACTGGAGTGCCCAAAAGCACAAGGTGTGCAATACTCAGAGACATGGCCAAGGTAAGAAAGGCTGAAAGACGACCACCACTGAACAAGACACACAAGCTGAAACGTCAAGACTGGGCCAAGAAATATTTCAAGACTGATTTTCTAAGGTTTTATGGACTGATGAAATGAGAGTGAGTCTTGATGGGCCAGATGGATGGGCCCGTGGCTGGATTGGTAAAGGGCAGAGAGCTCCAGTCCGACTCAGGCGCCAGCAAGGTGGAGGTGGAGTACTGGTTTGGGCTGGTATCATCAAAGATGAGCTTGTGGGGCCTTTTCGGGTTGAGGATGGAGTCAAGCTCAACTCCCAGTCCTACTGCCAGTTCCTGGAAGACACCTTCTTCAAGCAGTGGTACAGGAAGAAGTCTGCATCCTTCAAGAAAAACATGATTTCATGCAGGACAATGCTCCATCACACGCGTCCAAGTACTCCACAGCGTGGCTGGCAAGAAAGGGTATAAAGAAGAAAATCTAATGACATGGCCTCCTTGTTCACCTGATCTGAACCCCATTGAGAACCTGTGGTCCATCATCAAATGTGAGATTTACAAGGAGGGAAAACAGTACACCTCTCTGAACAGTGTCTGGGAGGCTGTGGTTGCTACTGCACGCAATGTTGATGGTGAACAGATCAAAACACTGACAGAATCCATGGATTGCAGGCTTTTGAGTGTCCTTGCAAAGAAAGGTGGCTATATTGGTCACTGATTTGTTTTTGTTTTGTTTTTGAATGTCAGAAATGTATATTTGTGAATGTTGAGATGTTATATTGTTTTCACTGGTAATAATAAATAATTGAAATGGGTATATATTTGTTTTTTGTTAAGTTGCCTAATAATTATGCACAGTAATAGTCACCTGCACACACAGATATCCCCCTAACATAGCTAAAACTAAAAACAAACTAAAACTACTTCCAAAAATATTCAGCTTTGATATTAATGAGTTTTTTGGGTTCATTGAGAACATGGTTGTTGTTCAATAATAAAATTAATCCTCAAAAATACAACTTGCCTAATAATTCTGCACTCCCTGTATATATATATATATACACATATAGATTCACATACGTATATATATATATATATATATATATATATATATATATTAATTCTACATATATATTTATGTAATATTTTTACATAATTAGGTATCTTAATTAATTGCAATTAGCGGGACCTGCCTGACAACCCATGCCGAAAGTAAAGGGAATTTAATTTACTAGCACTATATTTAACCCTATAACTTTCCAAGACACCATAAAACCTGTACATGGGGGGTACTGTTCTACTCAGGAGACTTCGCTGAACACAAATATTAGTGTTTCAAAACAGTAAAATGTATTACAACGATGATATCGCCAGTAAAAGTGAAGTTTTTTGCATTTTTCATGCACAAACAGCACTTACATGGACGATATTATTGCTGTGATACTTTTTGCTGTTTTGAAACACAAATATTTGGTGTTCAGCAAAGTCTCCCGAGTACAACAGTACCCCTCATGTACAGGTTTTATGGTGTTTTCAAAAGTTACAGCGTCAAATATAAGGCTTGCGTTTCATTTTTTTCACATTAAAATTCGCCAGATTGGTTACAGTGCCTTTGAGACCCTATGGTAGCCCAAGAATGAAAATTACCCCTATGATGGCATACCATTTGCAATAGTAGACAACCAAAGGTATTGCAAACGGGGTATGTCCAGTCTTTTTTAGTAGCCACTTAGTCACAAACACTGGCCAAAATTGGCGTTTTTTGCATTTTTCACACAAACAAATACTAACGCTAACTTTGGCCAGTGTTTGTGACCTAATGGCTACTAAAAAAGACTGGACATACCCCATTTGCAATACCTTGGGTTGTCTACTATTGCATAATGGTATGCCATTATGGGTATAAATTTCATTCCTGGGCTACTATAAAGTCCCAAAGGCAACGTAACCAATCTGGCGAATTTCAATTTCAAATGCTATATTTGACCCTGTAACTTCCCAAAACGCCATAAAACCTGTACATAGGGGGTACTGTTTTACACGTGAGACGTTGCTGAATACAAATATGTGTATTTTATTGCAGTAAAAGCAAACAGTATTATGACATTGACAGTTAAAATGTCATGTAGAACTAAAAAAAATCAAACAAATTCTTTTTCTCTTCCAATTTTTTCACATTAAATTATGTTTCATAGCTAAATATTTGATATTAAATGAAAGCCCTGTTTCCCCTGAATAAAATGATATATAATAAGGGTGGGTGCATTTACTATGAAAGAGGTGAATTATGGTTGGACAGACATGTAGCGCAAATGCCAGGTGTTGTGGACAGAAATATTAATTTAGTTTTTATTAGTAAAATGCCTATTTACTCAGAATTATTCGATTCTCATGTGATTAACTAAACTCCCGCTGGGGAGTTTCCCCTCTAACATAAACTAACTACCCCATGTAACAAGATGGCGCTGGAATCTGGGGGAGACCCTCATGATGCCAGTGACATCAACTCCTGTAGGCAGAGCATTAGAAGAACCACTTAACACCTAACCAATTAATGATGTATTATTTCATGTTATCTCTGACAAAGCACATGATGTAATCCTGCTTTAAAAGGGACCTGCCGTTCCCTCTGAATAAACATTCCTAAGTTTTTCATCAACCAGAAACTTGTGTCCGGTGTGAAATTACTTCAGGAGCGTGCACGCACTTCTTCTTCAATTTGGCCAGGGGCAGATACACATAATAACCAATATTATTGATTAATTTCCATTTCACCAGATTTTGTTTACATTTTGTTTCGTTCACAACGTGTACATTTTGCTCCGTCCTTAAGGGGTTAAAGTGCCACTAGAGTCATCCAGTCCACTTCATCGCAATGAAGTGTTCTTGGTGTAGTGGTACTGTAGGTTAAAACATACAAGGTGAAACATTGCTGTTTTGCAGAGACAGCAATGTTTACCTTAAAGGGTTAAAAACGCTTAGAGGCACCTTCACTGCAATGCCGTGTTTAACTATGGGAAGCATTGGACGTGCATAGCCCTTGCCAAACATGCGCATCAGGTGTCCAGTGCTCCTTTATGAGGAACATTGGTTTGAACCAGCATATCCTGAATTTTTCCATGCGTTACTGGGTCTGCCGTCCAGTCGCCCGAACACACCCAGACACAATCATAGCTGCAGGTTTGCCAGAGGCGCCCCCAGGGAACTGGCGCCCTAGGCCACCGCAAAGGTGGCATAATAGAAGCGCCGGCTGTGCTCCCCTCTTGCTCTTTAATTTGTAAACTCAAAGCTCAGTCACCAACCTATAAAACAACATAATCTCATTAATGCTCCAGCTTATGAGGACTGCATCTACCATCTTGTTTAGTAAACAGCAACCTCCTCCACTCAAGCTTCAGCAGCCTCAATAATCAGCAGTCTGAAACACCAGGATCAATAATCAGTAGCTTTCAGTATGCCAGTTTCTGCAAGACCAATCAATCTCTGTAATAAGCAACCTCCAGCAGTCCAGATTCCCATCATGCTAAGAAACCAGCAGTATTCCTGATTCTGCAT